ATGATTATGTTGAGAAAACATTTATCATAAAAATAAAACCAAATGCAGATGGAAAAGTGGAAATCCTCCTCTTCTTTCTTGAAAACAGTTGAACTCTAAATGTTGGTATTAAATTAATGTATGGTTGTATTCTATATGTATGTCACTTGATATTTGTTTATTAAAACTTATTTTCTGACTGGACTGTATTTTAGCCTTAGAACAAGTGATGTGATGTGCTGTTGTTGGGGCTTTTTCAAAATTAAATTAAGTTTCAAAATCTTTCTGTCATTCACCTCAGGACCATGAAGGCTGAACAATCACATCTGACGTTTCTTCTCATCAGTGCATTTTATGTACAGCTGCTGCAGCTCGGCCAAACTGTGGGCATGTCACCAGGTGAGGATCTTGTTAGTGTGTTTGTAACAGTAAAACAAAACAGAAAATGCACAAAGAACAGTATTACTGTTGATTAATAATTAATTATTCATCATTAAATGATGACTTATTGAATTGTGACAATCTTAACAAATCAGAATTCCGAGTTAGCTTAGCCTAGCTTTGGCGAAAAGTGACATTGTTATTGTCAGTAATAGGGCTGAAGTTATAAACAACTAAAGTTAGTATTTGTATAAAAATGTGGAGAAAATGTAACATTTGGCTGGACTTTTGTAAGAGGGGAAAGAACAGCGGAGCTATTTTCAATCGTTAAACTGTAAAATGTGCACTTAGCACCACCCACAAACAGGAAGCTTCAGGGTAAGTGTTGACACATTTTCTATAACAAATTGCTTTTCTTCCCACACTCGAATCTGTAGTTTATTTTTTATTATGAACACTATAAATTGTTGATTATAATTGATTCTATAATAATTCTATATATAATTGAATATATAAATAATGTATAATCCCCAATTAAGTTACAATGTGAGATGACAGTGCCCTCTACTGACAATATTCTGAATAACGGCACACAATACACCAACAAGTAAACTGTATTTCACCTGTGAAAAAAGATTTTAACATTCGTTTTTGTAAGTATTTATCATTTTTATTTGACTACATTCAATTAGTAAAGTGTTGCTTTAGACTGAGCTAAAAAATAAATTAAATTTTCATATTAATCAGGATATTTGTCTTCCGTTCACCTCTCTGTGACAGAACCTGACACCTGAGATTTCAGTGTAGTCAGTCATCATTTTAATAAAGGTAAATAAAAAAAAATTAAAAAAAAGTCCAATTACAATTTTTTTCTACTCCTAACTAACATTGATATAATAACACACGTGCATCATCAATAGAATAGAAGCAGAAAATGTCGCACTCTACACGAATTGCGTTGCACAAAAAACAGAATAATCCACTATTGTTTTTCAAACAGATTCTGGAGAGATCCATGATGTCATCACCCGCAAACCTGAATCTGAACATGACAACGGCTTTGGATACAGAGGTACGTTTCAGTGGCTATTTGAGGGGAATAGTTGTACCGTGTACTCCATGTATTATACAGTATGTATGTTACTAAGGAGATTTATTATTCAAGTAATTTTTGGAGTAAAAATATTAATAATAAAGCAACAAAGAAATCACAAACAAAAGGAACTTAATTCCACTGCCGCAACTGTAAACATTAAATGCTGTAGCCAAGCCAATACGCTTTCCCTCAGCCTTACTTTTAATATGCTAAGCACTCTGATGTAGACCATTATAAGAAGCGCTAAAGCTATAAACCAACGATCTCTTCTTAAAATAAATAAATAAATAAAAATAAGAGAGGAAGAAGAAAAATCGAGTTACTCTCAGCTGCCCTTTGTCAGTTTTTGCCATTTGAAGACTGGTATGTGTGTCTGAATCATTGATGCTGGCACGTACAAAGGCATTTCATAGCACTTGGACACAAACCTAGCATCCTGGCAACGTATCGCTAAGAATTTTCATTTATGTACATATTCGGTGTATCTTTGGGTTAGGTTTCTTAAATATGTCTTGACTAATGTTGCTGGAATATTGAGTGGGAGTTAGTCATCACATCTAAAGAGGGATATCGATTGTATGGGAATGAACTTACACCGATAATGACTGCCAGTACCTCTGACAAAGCCCACTATTAGCGGTGAATGTTTGGTCATCACTTGGTTTCTTTTAGGGGATATCTTATTTTCACATTTATTTATTGTGCTACAAGAGATATTTTTCTTGTTAGTAGTCAACGAGATTGTTGTTCCATAACAGATAACTGTCCACATGACTGGCAGTTTCCCAGCTGGGACTGAGTTGGTGCGAGAGCAGAAGTGTGGTGGTTGCATCAGTTTCCCCTCTTTGTTTTGTGTTTTCTCGCCATAGGAAAAGAAAAGTGTGATTATGGAAAAGTCAGCCACAATAGCAAAGTGTGAGATAAGCTGACATGGGATGGAATCAACATTTATGTTATAGATAATGGAGTAAAGGGGCTGTCAAAAATCAACATGTCCCATAAATCTATGCTACTATAGATCTTTAATTCTTGGCATTTTATCCACCTACACACAGATGAGATTGTATTTGTATCAGTTTTTTTAATCATAATTCCCTTGGAATAATTGATGCTTGGATCTGAACCAAATGAAGTAGGTGCAGTAGACTGTTTTTTTTTATTATTACAAGCCATGAATTTACCCATGAGCATCACATCTGTTGTTATTTCGAAGGCCTCATGTGATAACGCAGGAGCTCCACTGCACTGCTGAAATCTGTCTTCTCTGTTTTTTTTTCTCTTCTGGCTTTGCTGTAACTGCTGCCAGCTTTCTCTGCCAAAACCATATGAATTATGTCTAATTATGCAGCCATTACATTACCAAGACCATAGTGTCCTCTACAGGACTATTGTGGTATACTCCAGCCAGTGAGTGTCAGCCAACTTGCCTGCCACAGACATATAGTGAGCATAATGGGGTCTCTATGGGGAGAGAAAGAAATTCAGTAATAACGTGCAGCGAAAATGGTCAATCTGGCAAAAATGTTTTGGTATTTTAGAAAAGATAATGCTGAACACAGCAGAAAAATAAGACGGATTAGACCCAATGCGGAGTCAAGGTTGAAGGTGGTGTACAACCTTGAATGTTCTCCGGTCTATTGCAGTATTTTTCCATATAACAACTCTCCATTCCATCACATTTTATTTTTTGCATCTGTTGTGCCTCCTTTTAGCTCCATTCTTGACACGAAGCTATCTTCTTTGAGTAGGATTTAATTCCTAATTTGAACACAGCGGTAAGAGGAAATGCAGTCATGCTCCACTATTAATTTTAACTAATTAAATTCAAACCACACTTGGATGCATTGATTTCAATGGTCTCTACAACAGTTGTGATATGTGTCACGTCTAAATGCAGTTATAGGATGCATCTAAAACATTTCCTTTGATTAAGTAGTGCAGATTATCCCTTAGAGAAAAAACCATAATTAAGAACGTTCAGGGAAAAAGATATTCCAGCTAATGTTGAGCTAGAATTTACTGGTACACGAGAAGGGGATTTTTCAACAACTTGGTTAAGAAGATAATTTTCTCCCATTTATGATGTTGTTTTTTTTCTAGTGTTAAATCATTTCACTGTTTGGACGTAAGACCTTGTTACTTATTCTCGATAACTTCGGACTCGGATTCAATGTAGTTGCATTACTGCCATTTACTGGGCATACTTTCTAAAGGTTACTATGTACTTGCCTAGGAAGTACAGGCCCATAAAGAGAAAAGACTCACATTTTCTAAACAAATATCCATATATTACAAACAAGGATAATAAGGATGTGCTAGACACATTACATCTGTTTTTTGTTCTTTCTTATTAATAAAGAATATACTTTTTTTTTGGCCGTGACAAAAAACAGTATGGTCTGCAGACTTTATAGTGTATTGCTTCCCATCCACCAGTAGAGGGCGGGCTTGGACTCCTGCGACAACAGAAGACGAATCACAAGTATGACAAGTGACATAAATGTAAACATTTATGGGTTTTCATTTTCCCTCCGTTTCATTTTGTATCGAGTCTTGTTACCATGGGTTTTAATATGATATAATATATTTTTTACGATATGATACATGGATACATGATATACTTTGAAAAGTCGGTTACAGTAGAAAACAGCGTTCACGTAATTGTTAACAGGAAATTAAAATACTGCAGAGTGATGTTTATGTCAGGGTAATGGGACTGCACTTCACGGCTGTTCTTTTGGGGAAGAAAATTGACACAAGATCACTAAAAGCAAATTTAATACTAGTTTTTAAATACACCTTAATTTAACGTCAAATACATTAGCTTCGGACATCTGCTTTTGATTTGTTGTTGTTGTTGATATGTATCTAACAATAGTTCTTCTCTAATACTTCTGCAAGAATGTTAGAACCTCAAATGACTGTCATACACCGTTGGCTGTTGCTAAAGAATACCACAAGTTATGGTTAATACAGTAAAATGTTCCTCGAAATATGTAAAAGTGTTGCAAAGGTAGTATTGCACATATATACTCACATATATACGTGTTGTATATATATGCAATACTACCTTTACAAGTAAGGGGTGTGGCTCCCACTGTGGATATCAATTAAAATTGGAGCATTTAACTTGAATTTCTAATTCGATGTTTCAAGCCTTTACATTTGTCTAACTTCTACCAAGTCCTTCTTATGAGGGATGCAAAAATGCAGTCGTGAATAAATGTGTGTCCTTGTGCGGTTAAATGCTGCCTGACTCGCTGGAATCTCCTGTACGCAGCAGAAAAGCCTGTGACTCACTGACTGCTGTGGAAAAAAAAAAAAAAACCTAAAGTGGAGCAGTGTGCAGGAGCCACATCCAACCAGAGCCAGTCCGAACAAAACCTCCGGGAAAACAGCGGAACGAAAACGGCACAAAGTGCAGATTTGAAACCGGTGAACTAAACGCCAAATGTTCGCTGCTTCTTGGATTCCACGCTTCTTGTTCTGATAGCGCGCGGTAACCAATGAATTCCACGAAGTTGTCGGCAACTGGGTGTGAGGAGGAGCCGAGTGGAAGAACGTTGGAGTGGGATACTTTTCCGAAGAATGCGAAATAACCACGATGCCCTCTGGCTGATGTAAACTTTGGTTTGAAGAGAAAGCCAGAAGATTTTTTTTTTGTGCATTTCAGTTCGTGGACTCTCTCTCTCTCTCTCCCTGCAGCCCGACTCTTCCTCGGCACTTCATCATCATCTTTCTCCTCTGTCTGCAGCCCAAAGTTGAGGTTTACATGATTCCCTTCGCGCCGCGTCTGGATTTTCAGCGTCCACGGCTGGTTTGAACGATGTCTGCCAGTCTAACGGCGGTTTATTGTCTACTGTCATTTCTGCAGATGTGTTCAG